CTTCTAAAAGTCTTGGCCAGTTGGGGTCAGAAAAAAGGAAAAGGAAAGGATTTAACTCTTTGTGGCACTCTATTTTTTTCAAGGCTATTTGGAATGCCCCAAGAAAGGAAAGGCTGCTTGCAAACCACACTAAAGAGAAGCAGATCCTATATGTTGTCTATGTAATAATTAATATAATGCTCTCATTTCACAATGAATAAGCGAAACCATTAAAACAAAAAATGGGCACTGTCTCAAACAATCCCCACCCCTTTTAAAGAACTACATTGAATATTATTAACAGCCAGCAGCTATTTTGCATTGCTTATTCTGATCTTCTCTACAAATGAATCTGACAATAAAAACCCAGGCGGATGCTAACACAACCCCTCTCCCTTTGTTGAGAGAAGACAGTGAATAACCCTGGCTCTGGGCTTTCCCTTGGGAAATACAATGTGTATACAAAATAGGGAGTGATGTATCAGGAGCCCTGATTTTTCACAAAAAAAGAAGCATGCTGTGAGAAATAATTAAGAGGAACACTTGAATTAAAGGTTACTGTCTTCTGCACAGATATATGAATTCCGTTTCTTTTTGTACTTTTCACTTGCCTTTTTAATTAGAAGAGAGGCACTTTGCACTTGAACATAGGACAATATAATGGGCTAAATATCAGATTTTGACTGTCCAAATTCTGGTTTGCCAGCACTGATTTTCAGCCTTAGTAGAAATGAGTTTGCTCTAATGCATAGCAGTTCTACAGTTGCTTTATGCGACTTGACAAGACAAAGCCAAACAGTATAAAACCTTGCTATCTGGCAAACAACTCTCCCTCAGATCTGCCACCTGTCCTACCCAAACCTCTCAATCCTTGATGCTGCGGGTGGCCATCCCAAGGGAGGGCCGGAAGTCTACTACTAGGAATTGGGCCTTCTCAGTGGTGGCTGCCTCATTACAGAATTCACTACCAATGGAGGTGAGTCAGGCCTTAGGAGCCAAATACAGTGGTACGACCATCCCAACATACGACCATTTCAAGTTGCGACAGCTCCAGCTGCAAAATTTTGCTTCAACTTGCAGCCGAAGCTTTGAGTTGTGATCAAAAGAGGCGGGGGAAAAAGCGCGGGTGTGTGTGTTTCAAATTAGAGGGCTAACCGTTGGTCAGGGAAGAGCTTCTTTGTAGCTCTTTCACCCCAACGGTTAGAGTGTGCGCGTTGGAGGAGGCTTGGGACTGCGTGGAGCTGCTTTCTACTTCTAAGTAAGTACATTTACAGGGTTTTGCAGGGTAGGTTTGGGCTGAGGGGTTATGTTTCTGTGCTGTGTTTTTTTGTGTTTTTATTTTTTCAGCCCCAGCGCCTTCCTATGCGGCTTGCTGTGTTGTTTATTTTTGGTTATTTTTTTAAAGCCCCAGCAACCGAGCTTGCTATGTGCTTTATTTTTGGTTATTTTTTAAAAGCCCCAGTGACAGACCCTGCTATATGCTTTATTTTATTTTATTTGTTTGTTTTTGGCTGAAATGGATTAATCGCATTCCAATGCATTTCAATGGGAAATGGTGCTTTGATTTATGACCATTTCGAGTTACGTCCATTTTCTGAAACAGATTATGGGTGTAAGTCGAGGCACCACTGCAATGGCTTTTTAGCTAGGCTTCAACAACCTCCTTTCTATTTAACTTATTATTTCAGAGTTGATTTTGTTTGAACTACTTTTATAATCGTCTCTGTCTTGGAATGTAGTCTATATGTTTGTGAAACAAAGAATTACTGGAGTGAAATTTTGCTTCTTTTTTCTTATTTTGATGGTTATTTTATGTATTTTACTGATGTAAGCTGCTCAGAGTAGTGGTCTGGCCACTAGATGGGTGGGGTAGAAGGGGGGGGGAGAGAGGGGGGAGGGAGAGAGAGATGTACCTTTCTGTGTCTAAGCAGGAATCAAACTCATGCGCTTCACCCCACTTTACTGTTTGAAGACTTCAAAATCAATTTGTAAAACAAAGAAATCACCCCAACATCCCAATTTCATCCATTTCAATGGTACTTGTCCAGTAGAGATTCCTCATGGATTACTCCTCATTTTCTTTCAACCCACTGCACAACACGTATTTTCAGTTCTAAGTGCAAGTGACTTCTGGACACTCCTGTTCCCTATTGACAATTCACGAGGTGCAAGGAAGAAACTTTACATATTGTTCATCCCTTCTGAGATTTACAGTTTTGGCAGTAACAGCAACACAACAACAGCAGGAACAACAAGCCTATTATATCTGTAGAGAAAATCTGAAATATTGACCTAGATATTACCTGAATGTTAAAAAACCTAAGCACAGAAACTACAAATTTCAACAATTTAAAATGTTCTAACAGTTTGTCTTGATTTGCCAAGGCTGAAAGACACTATTTCAGCATTTCATTTTAGCAGAATAAGGTTTCGTGGACTTCCTTATATTCTTTGGGGAAAAGAAACACCAGTTGGGTAAAATGATAAAAAACAGTGTGGCAGGGAATTCTTTTAATCACTAATGAACATCATTCAAAACACAACACAGATTGTTGAAACTGGGTGGTGAGAAACATTTTCACAGTAATGTAAACTTAGGGGGGGAAACAGTGGGAAACTACAGGATGAAAAGGAAGTTAATTAAGAAAAGATATCTATCTTGTAGATAATCTCATATTGGTTAATTCAGATTTTATACTCCTTGGCAGATGAACCAACAGGTTGTCCCCCTCAAACATAAACTGTCTCAATTTTGATAGCACGGTACCCCTTATGAGCCCTGTGGTTAATGACTTCCATAATTCCTGCAAGCAATATTTTGACAAAAATTGAGTATTTTGCTCCATGAGAGAAGTTCAATGTGATTATTAATGACAACACATTCATGGGAATACCAGTGTAGTGTAGTACTGCTCCTATACACTGAAAACAACAACAACAAAAATGGCAGAAGGGACAAGTAATAATGCAGAAAAAGAAAAGATTAATTAATTTTCAGCCAATGGAAATCTTCATTTCCCTTTCAGGCATGAAGGAAATAGAGCCATGCCACAAGCCATGCAGTAAGGGTGGCATGCAGATATAGGAATTCCTATTCGACACAGTTAGTAAAAATGAAATAAAACCAAAAAAACCACAACTTTTCAGATGCTAGTTTTACATCTGATCTGCAGTGCCTTCAGTAGGCAAATGGCAAGTAACATTCATTTAAAAACACACAGACATGCACACAAAAACCACAACCTATCAAGATCCCACAACAAGTCCAATTTTCATGGCTACCTACCCGTACTGATCAGGTTGATGCATCATGGGAGCCTGAGCGTTGCCATAGTTGGGATGCTGTGAAGAAAACATGGGGCGTCCGCCAGCCCCAGACTGGCTGGGATAAGCAGGCGACCTAATGTATGGTGGCCTAAAGCAGAACAAAAGAACAGCCTCTTTGGATTTGTATTGGACCATGACTATGAACCACCTTGTCAGCTAACAAAACTGTTCCACACAGAAACATGTAAGATTTTTCTGTTGGGCAAAGTGCCACTTAGGGATTCAGGAAGCCAGGAGAAAAATGCTGCATTTTAAAAACTCTGGAATAAGCTGAATTTCATCTCATATGTTGTTTGCTGTTTTCCAGTCAAGGTCTAAACACTGCACAGCCATCCTACAAGAGACAGATTACAATGGGGGGGCACTATATGTCAAGATGATTTTGAAACATTCTATTTTGTTGTTTAAGTTAAGTCTACAATATCTATCTATCTATCTATCTATCTATCTATCTATCTATCTATCTATCTATCTATCTATCTATCTATCTATCTATCTATCTATCTATCTATCATCTTATAATTTATTTAAATCATTAATATGAACAGCAACCATGCACTTTATTTTTACCCATTTTTAACTTTTTAAATTAAAATTATTTGCCTGCACTCACTTTTACTTCTGTAAAATACTGGTTGTTGAAAACAGTCACATCCACAAACATATACTTAATTTCACAGGTGTTTAAGTTATTTCTCTGAAAGATTGTTATCTTTCAGTTTTTGTCTTTTAAGAGGACACATACAAGAAGGTACCGAGTCTAAAATAATAAAATCAAGTTTCAGCACTTCGATAAAATATTGTTTTTCTTTTTGAATCATAGATTTACCTGCATATGTGCCAATATATACATCATATCATCAATGCTATTTTTAAAACAGGCAGCTACTCACAAGGCCAGAATTTTCTTACATACCTACACTAGTGTAATGCTACCAGCATAGTTTTTGAAAGTGAAGTACCTCAAACTAAGACATTACTGCAGAAATTATCTGTTGCATCCTGTCATGCAACTCTGTATATATCTGTGCTGATGTCTTAATCTGAGACAATTCATCTCTAAAGGTTATACTATTAGCATTATACTTGGTATATCAATACAATATAATTTTGGAACATATTTTTTAAAAATATGCATTCTATTATGTGATAACACACACATGCATTTAACAGCAGCACCATTGTGCCAAATAAACATTAAACCCCCACTTTCTCCAAGTGATTTCAGTACTTTTTTACTTCAATATAATGAATCATACAAAATTGGTGATGGCAGATCTCAAGTTACATATTAGATATCCTGGTTAATTCTGTCAACAGTACCAACCAGCCTTGAAACAGTTGGTTCTCATCCACAATGGCTTGCACCCAATTTCAAGTGGAGTCTGATAAATGTTCAGGAAACACCAAATGTCCCGGAAGTTATTTCAACAAATATGGGTTCTTCTTCTCCACCAGTTCACAAAATTCCAGGGGTTAACTGCAAATAGTTTACCATTTATGTAACCTTAAAACTTTTGGATTTCCTATTCTATTTATTTATATTTATTTTTAAAAAAAACATTTTTAAAACAATCAACACCTGCACCTGTCATTTTGGTTTCTATTGAGCACTCTATCCTCTGCACAAATCTCTTCTCTTCATAAGCATGTACATTTTAAACCATCACAGATCCTTTCCTTTGGATGCCTACCTGCTCTGGGCGGAGTTTGCAGCAGCCTGCATCACTGCTGCAGCTGCCTCCTGTGCCTTACGGTTCACAGTTGGCATAGGAGGTCCCATCCCTGGGCCCCCTTGCTGAGCCATGCCTGGAGAACTGGGGGTCATACTGCTCATATTTCCGGGAAATGGTCTGCTCTGCATCCCAGCTGATGGCATTCGTCCCAGGGGTATGGAACCACAAGGCTGGCCTGGTCCCTGTCCATGCATCTGGTTGTTGGCATTTACACCCATACCGGGTCCTGGGCCACTGTAACTTGTGTTGGTCACTCCAGAGTACGTTGGCTGTCTGGAGTAGTTTCCTAAATAAAAAAAAATGTAACATAGGAAAATAATGTTACAATTCAGAGTCACTGAAACAGCTTGCTTGTTCAATGAAATAATTCAGGCAATGCAAGACACAAGTGAGAGATCCTTATCTATTAGCCAATACCCAGTATCTACTGTAGATGCCTGAAAGTGGAGCATGTGCATCTCCAGAGTGATGTGGGAAGATGGTTGTTGATGGAACATGAACAAGGTCAGAACATGAAGTGAACTATAGCTAGCTAGTCATTCTGCAGCTGAAATAAGGGGAAAGCAAAAAAGGAAGCATGGGAAAGAAAAGAAGAAAGAACCTACAATGATCTAGCTGAGGTATGTACGGTGGAAACGGAGGTTGCAGTGGTTGACTTATCCTTGGAAAAGGATTCCATTCATTCATTTATTTTTACCCCTCCTAATGATGTAAGGATGGCTTATATAATTAAAAACACAATATTAGAAGCTAAAAACAGTAAATTATTTAAATATTTAAAAGAATTAAATAAACATTATATTTGAAATGTTAGGTAAAAGCATTACTAAGACAGATTGAAAAGCAACAGAAATATAGACCATCCCATTTTAAACCTCTCTAGGAGAGCTAGTTGACAAGAAAAAGCCTGCCTGAAGAGAAAGTTCTTTGCCTGCTTCTGGAAGGAGAGGAAAGACGGGGCCAGCCTGGCCTCCTGTGGGAGGGAGTTCCAAAGTCTGGGGGCAGCAACAGAGATGGCCGTCTTCCTTGTCCCAACCAAACACACCTGTGAGGATGGTGGGACCGAAAGAAAGTCCTCTCTTGATGATCTTAACATCCAGGCAGGCTCATAAAGGGAGATGTGGTCTCTAAGATAGTGTGTGTGTGTGTGTGTGTGTGTGTGTGTGTGCATGTGTGTGTGTGTGTCTGTTTTATGTGGTCCTTGTAACCAGCCCAATTAACAATCTGGCTGCAGTGTTTTTGCACCTGCTAAAAGTTCCTGAACATTTTTCAAAGGCAGCCTCACATAAAGCATGTTAAGAGAAATCCAGCCGGGATGTAACTAAGGCATCAAATACAAAGGTGAATCCCCATCCCATATACCTTACAGTAAGACACAGAAAACAGAATAGATACATCTTACTCCCCTTCATATATTGAAAAGCAACGGCACTGTCAGAGTTTCTTTATAACTGGTTTATATGCAAGTGTATATGATTTCTTGCTAACGATTCATGCATTAAAAGCTCTCTTCTGCACTTTTGAAATAAATTAAATAAAACTGTACATATATTCCTAAAACACATGACACACTTGATTTTGCACAATGTAGTTAAATGGAAATGATACTCTTCAGATTTAGCTGTTCTCTAAATGTAACCTCTTCTTAAGATGCACCTTTTGTGGAACTGATGATCTGGCATGCCCAAAGGAAAACAACAATTCTGGTACAACAGAGAGATGCCTCCCTAACAGTAATTCTTCTTTTACTCTTCTTTTACTCCCATCCATTACTCTTCAACAGAAAGTTCTTATGGCTACAATAAAAATGCACTATAATATTCTATATATTTGCCTTTTGTTCTGTGTCTACAATTGTACACTACTATCAGGGTTTGTTTTTATGCAGCTGTGCCTGCTGAACACAAAAGCATGCATTCCTACTGACATAACAGTGAAATCCTTTACCAGCAGTATCTGACTTGTCTTTTCTCTTGGACCATTCCCCTCATTTCTACCAATTCACTACAGAAGGCTATTTGAGATCTGGAGGAAATCAACTGTAGACTGAACACTGTTCACAAATCCTAGATTACATATTCTGGCCTACATAGTACCTTTGTTGGACCACTAACATTTACTGCTAGGGCAGACTTTTGAGTTCTTTAGGACTCTCCTTGAGGCTTATTTGGCACAAAATCCGGGGCTGAGGAACAAGTAAAAGATCTTAAAAAAATTTTTATAGCTCATGAAGGATATTATACAACCCAGAATTTGTTTCTACTCACAGATTACATGGTTACTTTCTTCTATCATCCATTCTTGTTTTACAAAGTAATTTTTCAAACAAACACTGCATTCAGATAATAAATGAACAATAAGTACAATTTTAAATATTTGGCATAGATTTAATCCAGATATGTTATATTCAGGATATTGTACAATATTCTGTGAAATGAAAATTTCATCAGATAAAACTGCAATTCTTCAAGTTTCAAGTCTCCTTTTTAGGTGCAGTGTTGCTCCATATTGCTCCATATAAAAGAAGATACACTTTAAAAACAGTTACTGGTACTTCTCTTGGCTGTTCAATATTAAGCAACTATTGCTACTGAAAGTAAAGAGGACACACAAGAGATATTAGAGATATTGCAACCCATGTTTCTGTGGAGATGTCTCAGAGGCACATCCTCTTATAGGTGAAAGTATTTATTAATCTGTAGCAGACAAGGAACAAAGTTCTATGGCACACTGCAAACCTCTAGTATCGTATTAACAAACACTTGGGGCTAAGCACAAGATAGCAGTAGAGTACACACCACCCAAAATACAAGAATTTCATAAAGAATCCTCATTGTGAAACTGGATCAGTTGAGCAGGCTAGTATCAGAGTGGAAAAATGTTACTTTTTTGGACTAGAAGTCCCCAGCCAGCCATTGGCCAAGCTGGTTGAGAGATTTTGGGAGTTGTAGTCCTAAAAGGTAACTTTTCCATTTGGGCTGTGATGAGAGAAACATGATAACCATTCACAAGAAAAAGGTTTATTTAGATTTTTCCTCAACACACAAACATCAATAACAAATGAGATAGAGAGCCAGGAATGAGAAATACAAACTTATTTCCATGTTTCTCTAATAGATTAGTAATTTTCTGGCAATGGCTTTGACAGCAAACAGATGGATGAACCATTAGATACAATGAACGCAGCAGATGCTGAGCCAGTCCCCATCAGCTGGACGTGTCAGGCAGCCAAGTGCAAGAGCCCACACTTTTCAAGTGGGTATCGGTTGGCGCAGCAGCCTTGGAACATTAACAAGCAGCCCATTCTGTCTTCGGCCAATGGATTTCAGATTCCAGCTCATTTAAGCAAATTAGAATTGAATCCAGGAACTTTGGAACCTCATATAGAGGAGGAAGAAAAGTTATCTAGTATACTGGAATTAGAACACAGTGAGGAAGGCAATAGATACAATCACATCTTCCACCAAGAGCTTGAACACTTCAGTTTAAAATAAAAGCCTTAAAAATCATTTGGTGTACAGTGGACTGTAATAGTCTTCCCACGGGGACAGGGACGAGGAAAGAGAGTGATAAGACCAGATCCAATGTACAATAAACCACCTAAAGAAGGAGACTGGGCGAGGCATCCATGCTGCAGCACCATTTGTGCGGTGAGGAGTGCCCTGCTACGGAACCCCACCAATCGAGAACGTTTTGGCCCAGCACCCCAATGAACTCTCCGGATTTCCAAAGAGAGTTGACTTCCCCCAGTAACGGACCATTACCAGATTTACCATGTTTTGACCCAGCTGAGATAGTTGTTGAGAAACTAAAGATTAATAAAAGTGAAGTTGTGAATATTACAGACAAATCTCAGTCGTTATTTCCCACCAAAAATGAGGAACTGCCACAACTTTCAAAAGAACCCAATCACAGTCAGATTACCAATATTGAACTGAATAAGCATAAGAAAAATGCGGAACTCCATTTTGTGGTAATACCTTTATTAAGCCAATGAGTCTTTCCCAGCTTGCCAGGAAAATTCAGCTACACAATTTGCTTCAATAGGTAAAGAGACACAATTGACAGTCCTCTTACCTAGTTACAGTGGTGTAACATGAGGAACTTTTGGAGGTCAATTGCCTTTAGTTAAGAAATCACCACAGAAACTGTCACATACTAAGCGTTGTGATTCAGTATGCAAACAATAGTGTTCATTGTGATTTCTTAATTTGGAACAAATGGCTGCCAAAAGGTAACTATCTGCACAGCTAAACAAGAGGATTTTTGCCAGTATTTAGTATGTTGATACAAGCACAGTTTTGCCAGCCCAGCAAAATCAACCCCATTTAGTCAACTTGAAGTGCTAATGCAGAAAAAAGCTCTAATATTTGAGACCAAGCATCTCAAAAATTTCAGTAAGGATAGGATTCATTTTATAAACTATACTTTTATGGTGGTTTAAATATTTTTTTTTAAAATGAAGCAAAAATAGTTTTATTGACACTTATGAATCCTGCCCTGAAACAATAAGGTGAAGGCTAGAAAATGAACAAATAAATAGTAAAGTCTAGCTGTTGCTTTTTCTTCTTCATGTCATATTCTAATAATTGATTATTACATAGTCTGTGTTGCATTGGACCTCATAAGTGCATATTTTATAAACCAAAGATTTTCAATAGCTAGAAAACTAATCCTCCAAATTCCTGCCATTTAGTATTATACCCATGCCACAGTAAAAAAATCTGAAGCAAAGATATGGATGGATCAGTACGAACAGGTATCCTAGCTAGATTTTAATTAGATTTCATGGTTCCAAGTCTTATTCTATAATTATTCCAGCAAAATGGAAATCACAAAAATCAAGTAATGTGGATTTATATTGAAAGAAAAAAAATATCTGAAACAAAGAGAAGAAAATAATCTCAGCAGTTTATCCTGGTTAATTTCAAATTCTACAATGGAACAGAAAATTTATTAATCTTTGTTTAGTACAATTCCTCTACATGTAGAAGAAATATATTAATAGTTATGTCCCTTGTTGCTCTTTATTGCCCACTTCCTAAAGCCCAAATGAAACTACTTCCAATTGCTTTACATCAAGGTCATAAAGGCTGTGAGTATTATTATTTTACAGTAGCCTCCCCACAGTGGACATCATATTATAGCATACATCAAAAGGCCCTTCCTCCTTGCCTACCAATAAAGGAAAAGGTAATATAACTAAAAGCCTCAGCCAAGGTTTCTACCATCAGTAGAATTGAGATGGGCATCTGCATGGAGATACACACGTCATTTCTGCCACAT